ACTGGATTTCGATTAATCTTCTGAGATAACATTGTTGGGGGGACTTTTATTTCGTATGAAAGTGCGTGAAGAAGAGGTTTGTAGGTCGATCTAACCAGAAGAGGGCGGTTGACTCCTGTTGTACTGCAGCCGTTTGGCTTGTATATGCCGTTTAGGTTGACGCAGTCCACGAGACCTCCTCCCTCGTTTTGGATGAAAACAGGCTGACGACACCCTAACAATACCACAATATAGCAAAACATAGTAATATAAGGGTAATATAATAAGCAATAGAAACTTGTTCTCTATCTGAAGACTCGGATGCAGAAATTCAATTATGCCTTTGCTTCATCACATTGTCACTTCGTTTAGCCTCTCTAAATCTACATGGGATGATTTTCTGCATAAAATTTTAATTACAGAGCTACGAAAACTGTTAAAAGGGCTGGTGCTGTTAAAGTCGGTACAAGATTTGAATTACAGCTACAACCCTTGCGCTCTACATTCTGATACCCAGTAAGTTAGATATAACAGAAATATATCAATTATTTATTATTTTCATTTACTATTTCGCTTATTTTGGAACAGTCTGAAATCCAAGTTCTATTGAAATAGCAAATTTTGACAGTTTCTCTTTGAATCGTTTGATTTATTTCCTTTTAGTGATATTTTCGTACGTATGATGATACATTTTTACGGCGTCTATTAATTTGTACCTGGGCTATTTCTGGCTGTTCCAGTCATACTTTAAGTCAATTTTGATAGATATAATGTAAAATTAAGACGTCATTCAAATGGGGTGCACTTTACTAAACCGTCTTGGATACATAATGTGTCTTTGCCCCCATTTGATTATTCCCTACTAAAGATATTTGCGAAACACGGTAACCTGTCCTTGCTGGTGAAACGATGCCAAGACTTTGATTGTAATGAGACAAACAGCTTTAGGTCATGGAATTGGTTTTACGATAATTCATTTACTGGATTTTCCTCTTCATAATCACTCCCTCCAACAATAGGCAGCTTATCATCACTTTGTGAAATTATTTAAGCCTTCTATCCGCAGGTCATATAGGTTAAAGTCACTCATTTGAGAGGTATTCACCCTATTTCTTTTAAGGTGATGACGGACTTGTAGTAGAATTTTCCCACAATGATATAAGTCGAGCTGACGTTTCCATTGAATTTCACAACAGTTGTTCTTATCCAGGATGGACTGCAGTTTCGACCTCGGATCGGTCTTATCAATACCCTCAGCGGGAGTCGAACTGTGACAGTGCAGAATGGGAGCTTGACACGTTAACCACTCGACCACATTGTCACGAGTGCTATTGGGTCACAGGGCATAAGTGAATTTCAAGGAAGGTCAGGCCTTTTGCCATATGATATTCTTTGGTGGGATTGCCTATGAAGCAAACATATATTTGCTATAAAAATCGACTACGTTACTTATTTTCGTATTTGAGTAGAGTTTCGAGACTACCAGTAAATCAGTAATATGAGGAGTATTGATGGAAGAAGGCCTGACCTTCCTTGAAATTAATTTATGCCCTGTGACCCAACATCACTCGTGGCAATGTGGTCGAGTGGTTAACGTGTCAAGCGGACATGTTGCACTGTCACGGTTCGACTCCCGCTGGGGGTGTTGATAAGACCAGTTGATGCGAGGTTAAAACTGCAGTCCACTCTAGCCGGGATGAGAACAACTTTTGGGAAAGCAAGACAATTTAAAATTCAATGGAAACGTCAGCTCTACTTATATTATTGTGGAAAAATTCTACTACCATTGCATCATCACCTTAAACGAAATGGGGTGAATACCTCTCAGATTACTGATTTACTGGTAGTCTCGAAACTACTCAAATACGAAAATAAAGTCGCTCAGATAAAGTGTGCTAGTTGAAATACAATATAGTCTCTAAGATGAACTTTCAGAGTAGTCTTCGCCTGCTTTACCGTAAAGTCTGCACACGACAATTTCGCCGATTCATCTGTGCCAACCATGTAACAGCTTCTTTTTTATATTAATAGGTTTTGAGTTTATCAATACTTCTTGCATAACAACTTTGTCAGCCTAGATCATTTAAGGTGATTTAAGGACTGATAGTTGAGTTTTCACCCTTACTAATTGAAGCTGATTGTACGAAGGCATTGAATTTCAGCCAGCCTTGCCTACTAAACGGTATTATTGTCTAGGGTGGATGAAGTTTCGACCTCGCCTTAGCTTCTCATCAGCACTTGCAGCCATATTTGATACTAGGCCTTGAGTATCATGTCGACGTCTACTATGCCACAACACGGCCATTGATGCCAGTGAGTCACAGAGCAGATATAAAGTTTCAGGCAATTGACGATGTTAATTGTTTTCGATATACTTTGATTTCGAGACTATAATTGCTTTTTGGATAGGAACTATAGATGAAGTAGATAGCGTCAGGATTCATTGTGAGGGCTTTTTCATTAGATAGGAAAAGAGTAAACGGGATGGAGTATGTATATCAAACAGAATATGTTTAATGAGATGTATTCACTCTGTCTTGGTTTAAGTGATTTAAAGATTGATGTTTGCATTTCTATGCAATAACTGAAGTGCTTGGGAGAAGCCTGATTTACCTAAAAAATCAATTCTAACTCCATTGTGAGAAAATTTCTACTCAGTCCTTGAGCTATCATAAGCGATCAGTGGTGACAAAGTTGCTATTTCAAAATTTGTGATACTTTTAAAGCATACCCAAACCAAGTAAAAGTCAAACATTTCTGCAATTAATCGTAGTTAGACCAATTGTCAGTGTCTAAAACCTTATGCGAAGAAAAGTTAGGTTTCGAGGAATCTCTTGTTTCGTAATTTTTGTGCCTACTTACATTTCGAGTGAAATTGTTGGGTGAAGATGTTCGAAGGTCGGTTCCACCAGGAGACAATGGCGGATTCCTCTTGACCAGCTGTCGATTGGCTTTACTGGAACATTCACGGTGACGCTTTTTCCGAGGTAATCTCCCTTGATTCCGGTGAAATGGTGCTAAGCTTTCATCCGTCATATGATGAACATCCTCAGAGCAAGGTATAATCGTCACAATCAAATTCAAGCTAACGAGTCAAGAAAACTTACCCGCAAATCCCTAAAAAGAGGTATATATGCTCTATGTTTGACATATTTGATGAGATATAAAGTGATTTGGTTAGTTCCAGTCATATGTCAACGTCGAGTCATGTAATTATGCTTGTCTCTGTATGTGTTTGTGCCTCTATGTGTTCGCCTATCCACGAAACCAGTAGTGATGGCTCCAAATAATTAGAACAGTAAAAGCAATGTCTGTTCTCGGCAATCTAGTTTTGATGACCACTATCTCCCCCTTCCTATATACCTGTTATGACCGTTTCTTGACTCTTTAGCATGAATTTGGTTGTGATGATGATACCTTGCTCTGATGATGTTCATCATATGACGGACGAAAGCTTAACACCTTTTCACCGGAATCGAAGGAGATTACCTCGGAAAAAGCGTCACCGTGAATGTTCCAGTAAAGCCAATCGACAGCTGGTCAAGAGGGATCCGCCGTCGTCTTATGGTGGAATCGAACTTCGAATCTCTTCACCAAACACTTTCACTCGAAATGTAAGTTAGAACAACAATCTAAAACCCCAGTTGATCGAAGTGCCTCACCACTTATAAATTGCAATTCCCTGATGATTTTCACATTTTACTTGTGGCACTTATTGTGTGTGTGTGTGAAATTTAATTTATTCACTTTTCATATGCATTCATTTGGTCAGGCGTTATGTACTCCAGCTCATGCCCCGCCTCCTCACATTGAATGAGACACCTGCCAGTCTGATTCCAATATATCCCAGTGTGGCGGCTGCTTCGCCAGGTGAAGAAGTAAGATCTCTTCTTGCCGAGTTGTCTGGCTCTGGAGACGAGTCCACAGAGAATGAATCAGACGCCTTTCTCCTGGCTTGCCGGGACTACGCGAAAAAGAGCAAGAGCAAAATCCAAACTATCATGCGTCAGATTAGGCAAGTCATTAAATCTCCTTGTATATTATAGATAATTTACTTACTTAAATTCTTATCTGCATTCCCGATTGAATGAATAGAAAATATGAGAAAGGAAAATCGTTTTCTTTGTATATCAATGTTTAGCTAACTCATATTTAGTTTGAGAGGGTATAGTGAAAAGATTATAGGTCGGTCTCACCATAAGATGATGGTCGATTCCCTTTGGCCTGCAGTCGTTTGATTTTACTGGCTATTTCACGTTGAATCATTTCTTGAGACATCCTCTTTTGGATTTGGTGAAGAGCCGTATAATTTTCGTCTTATTTATTAGGCAAAAAAGCATGACTCGTATCCGCTTTTGAGTAGGATTTCTAAACTATCAATAAATTCTGAATAATAGCCTTAGTCAACCTTGATATTTAACAAATATGAAGGGCTGACAGTGGGCCTTACGATTCCAGTGAATTTTAATTAAACCTGCTTCACAAAAATCCCAAGGTCATATTTAATACGAATACGAGTATGGCTATATGAGATGTATTCATCCTATTTGTTACGGTGGTGAAGTGCTAATAGGTGAATTTCCCACAATTATATGCGAAGAAACGTTGGGTTTCGAGGAATCTCTTTTTTAATACTTATCGAGCTTACTTCCATTTCGAGTTAAAGTGTTGGGTGTTGGGAGTTTTCTTGATTCGTTAGCTTGAATTTTGTTGTGACGATGTTACCTCGCTCTGATGATGTCCGTCATAACTCGCAAGCCTGAATTTTGTTGTGATGTTGTTACCTCGCTCTGATGATGTCCGTCATATGACGGACGATCAAGCCTGAATTTTGTTGTGATGTTGTTACCTCGCTCTGATGATGTCCGTCATATGACGGACGAAAGCTCAAATCGAAAGAGATTGCCTCGGAAACAGCGTCAGGCATTAAGGAAGTATCTAGGTGGGGTTCAAACTTTGGATGATTTTCAGAGGTATGACAAGAAATCGCT